AATGATTCAATTGACAAATCTTTTTTTCATTTTTTTTTCTTTTTTTTAAGCAATGGCTTGTTGTGTTTATAAACACAACTAAATTCATTTTAAAGTGCATCAGCTTATCTTTGTTCACTCCTAAAACTTTGTGAATTCAACTTTATGATGAGCATATAGTCCAGATAACTTACCACAATGTTTCTAAACCAATTGTTGAACATTTTGCCTATTGAACTGGCCCTCACTAAATTCTATGGTAAATTCTGTTTTCAAAGAAGCCGATGGGAGCCAGGTTTCTAATATTGACTCTATTGTGTGTTGTTCATCAAAATGCTAGAAGAACTTTCTCTTACATCAACCCAGACGCATGTGAAAATATTTATTATTCAATACTGTATTGAGTGACTCTTATTCAGAGCCTACTTAAATTTTTTTTTTCTTTTAATGCATGTCCTTAAAATTTTGGTCCTATTTGTGATGTGATGCCAAACTACTTTTGCCCACATAACCAACATATTGATTGTTTAAGACCTGCTCCTTAAAACCAAGATGCCTGCATGGTATTATTCCACTATCCCCTTATAAATTTGCCTTTTCATTTTTTGTTTTTTTTTGTTTTTTTTTATAAACCTATGTCTGTTTCTATGGATGCCTTATGATGTCTTACTTTCTGAACTGTGATTCTTGTGAATGATGTTCAGCCATGTAGCACATTTGTCATTGTTTCTAATTTAGTTGCTGCCCTGTTAGATTTCTTTTGTTCTGTTTGTATCACAACTGCTGGTTGAGTTTCAATCACTGATTGCTTACTATTAATTTTGTCTTATATATATATTTATTTATTTATTTACTGTGTCTGGTAAGTGAATATAGTTCCAATACCTATCCATATCTATCTTTTCTTTTTCTTTCTGCACACACAGTCATCTGTCTATATGTATTGATATAAATCTTTCTTCCTCATCAATATACAGATATTATCATACTGCAAAAGGGCTTTGAACAAATTCTAAGGATTTTGACATTAAATGTCACAAGAAACAATGAATAGACATATAAGCCATTATCAAAATCAAAGATGACAGTTAAGTTTAAATATGTTACATCCAACAAACTATACATTACTTTTTTGCTAATTCTTGTAACACATGGAACATTTTGTTAATTTTCTTTTTAAATTATAAGTGGGTGCTGAAAAGTTTTGTTTTTTGCTTTTAACAAGTAATTCATGTTCCAAAAGAATAAATTCAATTATAAATTGTTTTTTGTGTATTATCTCTATGAATAATTACCTTCACACTTCACTGTACAGGTGTAAAACCATTTCTATATCAAATCCTCCCTCATTCTATTCTGATTTTACTGGCGATTTTCAGTTATCTATCATATTCTGGCATTCAAAAACAATCCTGTCAATTTCTGTATGTACTGTCCACACTCTTTTTCTTTTCTTTAGACCTGTTCAACAATATACTCTCAAATTTTGTTTTAAAGCATGATTATCTTTTTAGACTAATGAAACTAAATCACTAACCACATGTTTGCAGGTGTCCAGAATGTTTTAATCTTCTTTTAAACTTTTTCTTTTTGACAGGAGCAAAAGTTAGTCTAGATAAACTTACTTTATAAACTTTTATTTACAGACAACAGGATTTTCGAATTTTAAGATAATCCTTCATCAGTTATCAATTGTGATAACTACTGACTCATTGCAAAAAATTGTTTAACTATGTAGTGTTTAATTTTATGTTACTTTTTACAATCATAAAAAGATGGAAGTCTGCAATATTTGAAGGTAGAATGCAACCTTCAACAGTTCAGCTAATGTTCACTTTCTTTTGTGAGAAAAAAATGGTGATATTATTATATCAATAGTTAAGTGATATTAAGTAAAGATAACGACAGGGCGAAAACGATTAAAAATTACCAAAGTTGAATAGGTAAAACAAAAACAGATATATAAATAATGTTCTAATGTAATATAAATAAATTAGAAGGGATAATTTAATAAAAGATATTGACAAATTTGATAAACATTCAATAAGGAACTTAGAGATAATTTTATTTTATTATTTTCTAGCAAAAACTAATGCTGGAAAGAACTCCCAAACACACAGAAACACACTTTATAAATCTTAAACAAATTCTATAATCTCATCCAATTAATATACGAAAATTAAAATGCAAAATGCAATGTGGAATGCACAGTTTAAAGCCTGTTGTTTCTTATGTAAACTAATATGTGGAATATAAGAGAAATTATTGGATACAGAAAATACCTCTCTAGTTGCATACAAATACCATTTACAACACGATTTGAAGAAAGTCAGGAAGTTACTAATTTATATTTTCTCTTCAATTTTCTTAAGTTATTGTAAATGCTTTTTATAGTTAAATGAAGTTGAATTTAGGGATTTTATTTTCAAAAAGTCTGCTTTGTTAGAAATTCTCGTAGTGAGCAATGTTATCTTAATCATGTCCTAATATTTATTTGCCCTCAATATTTCACTGCTGTTGAATGAAAATTCCTCCATTTTTCTATATAATTGGCTTCAGTGTCTCTGCTATTCTTTTTGTCTCGTGTAGCAAGAGGCATGATCGTACTTTTACCTCCAACATTCATGCCATGCACGTTGCACCATTTTGCATTGATGCATGTGTTCGTTCTTTTCCGTTTTATTTTTGTTTATTTATTTTTTTACTGGCAATTCTTATGTAATTTCCTTACTTTATTGAAACGGAATAATTTCAGAATTATCTCCCTTGAGGTTCAATCATATGTAAGGGGGTTAACTCAGAAAGCCCGAGTCATTTTTAATTTAAAACGTACACATTTATTGGGTACCACCACAGAAAATGCGACACGATACCTAAGGTTTCAAATGAATTTTTAAACATGAAAAATCTTTCTTGAAACTTTTATTTTAGTTTTAATTCCAAGCTAATAGATTAAATTTAATATTTCAAATAAGCAATATACTTTGCTGTATTTCAAAAACTAATTTAAATTGACTGGAAAGAATTTTGTTTTGCTAAAATAGCTGATTATCTCCCTTTTTGAGTCGTCTTTCATCGCAATATAATTCTCTTTATTAAAAAAAATCTTCTAAAAATAAAATGTACTTTTCTGAAACTTTATTTGAGGAATATTAGTTGAGTTAAAGTATAATTAATCAGATTTGACTCGAATATTATTTACTCTATTGCAGAAATGTATTTTTTTTAACACAGTGGTGTCTGCTTATTTAAGCTGTTGACATATTTTAAAGATTGATGTTTTTATCTAATGGAGGCTTTAGCTGTAAAAAATAATTGAATATAAGCACCTTTTTATATATAATTTTTAAGTACTCAGTAATCTTAAAAATTTAAGATAATAACTCCATAATTTTATTGAATTTTAGATACTTTCTGGCTTTAAATTAACTATAGTTTTGCTCTTATTTTCTGATAATGTGTATGGACGCTTGTATCTACAAAAATTGGCAAATTCTTTTAAAAATATTGGTGTTTGATGATTTTTACCATTTATGATTAGTAAATATAGTTTTTACTTAACAATAATATCATCTAAAAGGCCAAAATTAATACCGAATTTTAAAAGATTCATTATTCTAATTAAAATTTTTTAAAAAATGAAAACAATTCTTGTAAAAATGCATTATTCATCAAAAAATTATTTTTCTTAAGACAATAGTGTCCTTTAATAAAAGCAATTAAAAGCTTTTTTAATTAAATAATATAGTTTCATTGCATTTTTTATTTTATGATTCAGAGCAGATTTTGGGTAAATGGTATTTCTGTTTGACAAAAACAAATTGATGATTTAAATTCTCCAAGGAGTCCTTCTTTTAACTAATATAAATGAGGGTGAAATTTGAATTTCTCAATCTTTCATAAAATTGAGTAAATAGGGGTAACAGATGTAAAAAAAAAAATAAATAAATAAAAATATTTTTATCAAGATTTTCACTAAAAAAAAAAAAAAAAATCATTTGTCATTTAAAATCCGACAATTATTTTATTTTAAAAATTTTTTTCCCCAAGAATTTTCAAAACAACGTGTTTTTTACCACAAAAGAAGACACTAAATTTCCCATAATCTTTGGCCAACTTGCTGATGCAAGAAAACAAGTTGTTTTAAGTAATAAAATGATTGAGTGCAATAGTCTTAAGCTTTCAGAAAATGTGTTGTTTTCTGTTCATATTTCATTGTAGATGTGATACTTCATTAATTTGTTATATTTTGCAAACAATTTAATTTTTCTCATGTTTTTATTCTTTTATAAAATCTAGTTATGGGAAAATACCTGATTATGAAGTAGGGAAGTATTATGAAGTATTAAAAAAGACTTTGATTGTGTAATTAGTACATTTAAAATTATTTTTGTTGATTCTTAGTGCTAAATTTTTTTTTTTTTTTTTTTTGAGTTAAAATGGGATGTATTTGTTTTGAAGTAGACAAAATATTTCCTAAAATTAAAAATAGCAATTGCAGGACAAATCACATACATTCATAAAAAAACAATATTTAGTAATTTGAAATGACATTTTTGTATTTCAGTGCATTGAATGTGCACTTCATCATTATAATTTAAGAAAATGTGCTACAGATCTTAAGAAAACCTATTGGAAATTAATCTTATGACAAATGATTGTTTGGGATGAGACAGTAACATATAAAAATGAGTTCATTCTACTTGTGTTGAATTATTCAAACCAAATTTATTTTGTCTTGATTTTATTTATTTTTTGTTTTTGATTTTGCTGTTTTTCTAGATGCAGTAAAATGATATCAAATTCACCGGAATTGATTTTTACTTTATCAACATTATTTTTGGTGCTCTTGACAGTTTTTTTTTTTTTATTTTGATTTGTTTGTTCATTCATTATTCTTGCTTGTTTCATAAAGTTTTTTTTTAATTTTCATTTATATGAGAAAAAAATGGTTGCAAAAAAATCCCTTGAAGAAACATGCAAACAAATGGAATTTCAATTATTTATTTATTGTTTTCTAGGAGGTTTGTCCACTTACCGCTCAAAATATCAGATGGACTATGAATTTGGTATGCAGTTAGAAGAGCATCAGCCACCTCCAACTCCTGTTGAAAATACAAGAGAAGTTGATATGATGCAGCTGAGACCTGCCGATGAAAAAGATTTAAACTCTTGGTCTGAATCCTCCAGTTCAGACATTTTATTCTAGTAATACTCATCACCAACACCACAACCACTGTTACCACTCCTTCAATGATTCTTACTACAAATTATTATCTACTCTAATTGTATTAACAGCAATTGATATTTTATTTTGAATTGATTATTCATAATTGTTATTTTAGATTACTCTTCAGGTCAATTTCAAAGTGATTGTGGTTTATACCATCATGAAGTTTTTGTGTGATACTTGCTTATCACTGGAGACCCTCTTGACCCTCAGTGTCTATATACCCCCCACCTCTCTCTCCACTCTCTATTAAATATTGAATTATCTGCAATATTTTTTTTAAGTTTTAAAAATCAATTCCCTTTCATTTTTGTGCCATACAACATTTTTTTGGTGTATATATTCAGGTTTATTTGGCATTTCTTTTCCTTTTCGATTTGCTTTTTTTTCACCCCCCCACCGATCCTCCAAATTGTACAAACTGCATAGGAAAGTAAAATTATGAATAGAAATGTACATGTTATTTTGACTTCTATCCTTTTCCAAGCATTCTGTATAAAAGCTGAAAGAATTTATCAAAAAAACAGAGAGAGAAATGTTAGATAAAGAAAAAAGAATGTTTTCACTTCATTTTCTTTCACATCTTCTGATTCTCTTTCTTCCTCTTCTAACTGTATCTCTTTTCCTTGCATCCCCAAATTAGTCAAATCATTTTATATTCTCCATAGTACTGTTGTTGCAAAAAGTTGTATTTATGCATCATTTGCTTTCAAAATGAACTCTAATAACCCCACAAAGTCAAGTGTATATGTGAAAAAATTACTTGTATTAAAACAAAGAGATCTGATTATTTCAACAAACATATATATGATTGCAAATTAAATATTATAGTTGTAAAATAGACTTGGTCAATGTTTTAAGATTTTTGTTCTCCAGTACCATTGAACTTTTCGTTGATGTATTCTTGTCTACTGCAAATTTTTATTTTATTTTTTAATGACTCTGTTTTCTTTTATTTCTTGCAGAAAGATTAAAATTCCAAATATTTCTATTTTGCAAAATGAACATCACATAAAAACTGTATTTTGAATTTAGATTTTGTTCCTTGAAAAAAAAAATGCAAGAAATCAACTTTATATTTGTAATTGACATTTCTTTCTTTTTACTGAATGTCTTTCTAGAATGTTACAAAGTCCTTTGACTTTCATTGAGCAAGTAATTATAATCAAGTGAAAACTCCTGTTACCATCTTCCATAGCAAAATAACTTTGTCAGTTTAGAGTTCTGTACACAATATTAATATTATTATTATACCTTTTAATTTTTATCTAATTAATTTTGGGATATTTTGTCGACTAAAGAAAATGTATATTGTAATTTTTCTATTTTTTTTATAAAACATTTTCAACAAACCCAAAACTGACCACAGGCTTTGAAAATCAAACCTTACCAAACTAAACACAATTCTTCCAAGAAATTTTTTTTTATTATTATTACACTTGCTGAAGAAATGCAAGTTGAAGTTTTTCTATTGCAAGGTTTCCCTTCTCTATTTATTTTATTCTAACTGTGGCTACATACAACCGTAACAAGTAGAGTAAAAGTTTTCTATGCATTTTCTTTTTAATACAACAACAACAACAACAACAGTGACTTTCTACTGTTTTTCTTGCACTTTTCTCCTTGTATTTCTAATCTGGGATTTCTTAGGGAACCATTAGGTATTCAACAATCTTTTCTCTCTTTAACTTAATTCACTGCATGCAGCCCCCCCCTTCTTTGTTTCTGCTTCTCCCTTAAACCATCATTTCTTGAAAGACTTTGTCCTTTTTTTTTCTTTTCTTGGTGCAATGTCAATTTTCATTCCGATTATTTGTTTTACTCCAAAATACACATTGGTATTTTAACAGTTTAATTGACTTTAACTATTTTGAAATGATTATTTGAGTTGTCAATTTTAAATTTTTCACAGAAATTGCTGACAAACATAAGAGTTGAAATTTCTGCCTGACCTCAACATTCAAAACATTTGACTGAACAATGTTTTGATGTTTCTGTCTTGAGGTTATTTTCGGTTTGTCGCAAGCAAATTTCTTTGCTTTCACTTTGTCATTCCAGGCACCGACAATTGTCGTCTTACTGATTCACTTGTCAAAAATGTGGGCCACACTTTCTATCGATGGCTTCCTTATAAATGGTCGAAGAATTTGTGACCACTTTTGGTCAGTTTGACTTAACTCCTGCCACAAAATGTGGAATATTGGAGTTCTTTGAAAATGAAACCAGCATTTCTTCTCTTGTGCTAAAATTCAGATGATTAGACTTGTAAGGAAGCCATATCAGCAAAATTCATCTTTGTAACTTTTTCTTTTTTTAATTTCCTGATTATTAGAAAGAGTCGGGCAAATTGTTGTCTTGTCTCTTCAACAAGACACTACATTTCATAAAGCTCCACCGAATCTGTTAAGCAACCAAATAGAAAGAAACAAAAAGTCTATTTGCTATAAATGTTTTGGTATTTAAACTTCTTTCAATGAAAATTGTTATATGGAAATTATTTAATTCACAGACTTGTTAATCAAATTCAACTGCTGAATTTTTGCATTAATTTTAAAGTTATCTTCCATTTCAATTCTGAATGTTTTGTAAGTTTTGTTTCATCTTTTGTCATTCTTGTCTTTGGCGCTGATCTGCAGTCAGATTTTTAAAGAATTATTTCTGTAGATAAAAAAAAACACCCAAACAAAAACAAAAAATGCTTTAACCATTTTGCCTCATTTGTCACTAAATATCAAATCCTGCAGATCTGCCCATTTTTATACTAAATAAAAAACAATTTTCTTACATTGTTCATCTTCAACTCTAAAGTTGTACAAATTAATATTTTAGTTTAGAAGAATCCTGGATATTTTCCCAAAATTTAGAATTATATTTTGTCTGGTCACAAGTTGTCTGTTTCATTTAGTATTTTATTAATAATTAAAGAGGGGAAGCTTGCATAACTTTATAACAATAGAAACATTTTCTTTTTGTCTTCACAAACAAAGCAGTAGGAAAATCTATCAAGAAAATCACTTGTAAAATTTGCATAAATTTGCCATCTTTCTTTGTTCCTATATTTGCTGTTATTGTAGAAATTTTCTGTTGGTCATGACCATTTTGTCTGATAACTTTTTTTTTTGCTTTCCTCTGCTTTGCTTTCTGCCAATTGACTGGATTTTATAGTTTGTTTATAACCCCAAAATTTCCCTTCAATTTTTCAATTTCAGCATTAGAAGTATGAAAAATAAAATTTGTTTGAGATTTTTTGATGAGGTCATTTGAAAACTTGAGTTGCAGGGGAAAGAAAATTCAAGACAATTTTATGTTAATATTTAAAATGAAATGATCATTTGTTAATAAATATATGACTTGGTATCATAGATTTTGTAAGTACATATGTACTGAATAGGAGAATTTATCAATTTTTCTAGCCGGTTTCATGACTAATTGGATATTTTTGGTCTCTTGTAAAGCATCGTTTTGAATCCCTCAGCAGATAATTTGACTTTCAAACAGTTTATAGATGGAATTTAAAATCCATTAAAAAATAATTTTGAAATAGTGGGATTGTCATTAAAGCCTGTAAATATACTTTGCCTTAGTAATCACAATTGTTAAATTTATAAGAATGAAATTTTGTTATGTTGCATATTAAAACTGTGTTCAAACTTCAATTAATATTGACTGTAAATTAAAGATGGCTTCTTGATTTCATTCTCTTAACAAATGTCTGTCAAGTTGAAAATTATTTGAAAAGAAATTGCTTCTTCTCTAGAGAAAAACTGGTTGTCCTTTTGCCATAGAAATCTTGTTTACCAAGGCTTTGTCTTAATGTCTACCTTGTGTGAAATGAAAGACAAATCTGATAGTCTTGTATGAATCCAACTTGTCACACATTCATGTGACTAAATCTGTGTATATGAAATGAATGCAAACAAATTAGCAACATTTTTCACATCTCTGTATTTCAAGTCTGGAGTATCTCAGATACTACAAATTATAGAAGATAATCAGAATATTGATCATAAGTACAAATGCTTTTTATTGTAATCCATGTCTCTCCATTTCAGTAGCATTGTTTTCTTTCTGAAGTGGGTGTGTGATTTTTTATAGATCTCTTTCTCACAGTAGGGTGGGTGGATTACCCAGCAGTAATCCACACCAATATTTTGAGGTAATTGCTCAGAAATAAGTTTGTGGTAACAATAAAGTTGATAACATTTAATGAAATTTAAATGCCTGAGGATTCTCTTGTGAGTTTAAATCTATCAAATTTAATACAGAAATAATTTTATCAAATATCTGGTAGCATTTTAGTCATTATCATTATTACAAGTTCATTTTAATTTTAGATAAACAAGTATATGAAGTTAGCAGAATAAGTGCCCATCACTTTATTCATTAAACTGTCATGAATATCAGACATAAATATAAGAAATGAAACCTGAGCTAACCAAGTACCCAGCCTCTTCAAATAGGGACTTTCTATACAAATGCATTATACGATTACATGCTTCAATTTAAGGAACCATTTTCTCTACAATATTCTGAAATAGAAAACAATTCTTCAAACCTATGTGCTTCCAGCAAGCCTTGCAAATAAATGGAAGAGCCTAGTGGTTGGCTTCCCACTGTCATGGCTCTCTTCTCTCTTTCAGATTCCTAAGTATTGCATGAAGCTTGTCTCTGGTCTTCCTTGAACCTTTTTCAGAAAAGGATATAATTGACTCCCCTGCTCGTTTTCTTTCTGCTGCTCTATTCTAATTGCAATTGGATCTCATCTTCACTTTGAGTTTTACTCATTACTTCATTTACACGGCCAATATATTTTGTTCTGATTTACTGAATTGCAATTGGATAAATAGATTTCTTTTCCTTGTTAATAGTTTCACAAGAGACTAATTTTGTAAAGCCTTTGATTTTGTGAGGTTAATATGTCTGGACAGGGTCTTTTTTTTTTTTCTTTTCTTTTTTTTTAAGGGCCGACATACTCTGTC